TCATTTGAATACAACAAACATATGGTTCATTGATTTAGTTTTTTACAATTTCTCATGTGATCTAATAATATTTTTTTCGGATGATAAATTTTATAGGAACTGTTCAATTGTTCTTTTTATGCGAGAGGTTTCGGTTATATATTTAGCCATTTTCAAGGATGAAATATATTAACTGTTAACAAGAAATATTGTTTATATAATTTATCATCTGAAAAGAAAAAAAATTAGATCACATGAGAAATTGTATAAAGGACTAAATCGAATCACCTTGTCTGTCGTATTCAGTTAAATCTGCATGACAGAAGGATTGTTGCCTAAATGCATACATTCATACATACATACATACATAGACACACACACACATATATATATATATATATATATATATATATATATATATATATATATATATATTTATGTATACCATAAAACTGCTATAAGTTTTAAAGAGAAAATATTTATTTTTCAAAAAGTGTTTTCATGTGGTGTAAGTATATAGCATTTTCTACGGCATTTAATTTTGTTTAACCATATATTCGGCCTATTCAATTGATGTTATTCTTACCATTGTACTGATATTCCCACTTTCAAATTTGACTTTCATAACACTAGAATTTCGTTATCAACTACACAAAGTTTAAATTCTGAGTCAGTTATTTTTTCTCACACACGCTGCCAAAGACACAGACGCACCCATAAATATACACCCCTGGTTAAAATCTTAAGAACAGATAAAAAAAGTGTTAAAAAAAATGTGAAATACTATTACTTTAATCAAAATATATTTGCGAAACATTTACATTTAATAAGAAAATGTAGTTTATCAACAAACAAGTGAAAATTTTAAGTTTTTAATTGATTAAACAAACATTAAAAAAAAGGATTTTTTTGGTTGGTCATAAAGATAAGTCCATGTGTGAAAAAAACAAATTACTGGACAAAACTTGTGTTCATAGCTTCAGGCGTCTAGACATCTTCGTAGCTCATTTCCAGTATGAAATTTCAGATTTTAAAATGCCTAAGTGTGAAATTTTAACAAAGTTTGAACAGGGCAGAATTGTTGAACTTCAAAGACATGATCTTTTGCAACGAGCCATTGCAAATGTAATTGGCCGTAGCAGAACTGTCATTACTAATTTCATTAACAATCCGGATGCGTAAAAAATCAAGTGGTCGCCCGAATACAATCTCACCATCTCTAGACAGACTCACTAGGCGAGAAGTTAAGAGAGATTCAAGCCTAACATAAAATCAGATAAAAGCGAATGCATATGCTGAATGCAACTCTCGAACAATTCGACGGCATTTAAACAAGAAAGGGTTTAAGAACTTGAAACGGCTACAGAGACCTCGTCTTTGTCTTCGCCATAAAATCTCCCGTTTAAAATTTGCTTCCGATTATCAAACTTGGAATGTCGATAAATGGAAGTGTTGTTAACGGACGAGAAAAAAAATCAATCTTGATGGCCCAGACGGTTTTCAGTGTTACTGGCATGCAAAAAATGACCCAAAAGAAATTTTCTCAACACGACACAAGAGAGGCGGATCAATTATGGTGTTGGGTTCATTTTCGTACAATGGAACAATTAAGTTACAGGAGATAAAAGGTCGTCACAGTTGCTAGTTACATTGATATGTTAAGAAAGGCATCGCTAATTACTGAAGGCCTTCAGGAACATGCTGCAATCCACAACACTCTCCAGATCGAAACCCAATCGAGAATGTTTGTGGATGGATGGCAAATTTGGACACTTTAAAACATGGATTGCAATTTTGAAATCTGTGGATGCTTTTGTGCTGCAGTTTCTGCATCATGTGTTAGCATCCCAAGCACCCTCATGCAGAAGTTAATAATAAGTATGCCAAAGCGAATTTTCGAAGAAATTCTCAAAAATGGAGGACGTACTGAGAATTAAATTGTCATTTAGTGACTTATTGGTTCTGTATTTACTATTTTTATTTACATGGTCTTATCTTTATGACCAACCAAAAAATCCTTTTTTCAATGTTTGTTTAAATTAATCAATTAAAAGCTTAAATGTTCACTTATTTGTTGACAAATCATATTTCCTAATTAAATGTAAACGTTTCGTAAATTTATTTTGATTAAATAAAAAAGGATTATATATATATATATATATATATATATATATATATATATATATATATATATATGTAAGCAATATATGGATATAGATCCGACAGCATGAAGAAAAAATATACTGAAAAAAATGAAAAAAATCCTAATATGCGATTATGCTGTTTTAATGTTTAATGTCAACGTCGGACGTTTCGGTCAAATAGATCATCTTCAGGACATATTCATAAAACATAATTAACATAGACCATATACAATTCAACATGAAAAAGACGATGGACATAAAAGCAATACCAATCCAAACAGATAACTGAAATCTTTTATAAGATCAGCGTTCCGTTTAAATATAATCACGTCGTCCATCGTCTTTTCATGTTGAATTGTATATTTTGAGCGCTTTCCTAATAAGTACCGCGCATACAATATATAATTATATATATATATATATTTATATCTATATACTTTTCACACACACACTCACTCACACACACACACACACACACACACACACACACATATATATATATATATATATATATATATATATATACATCAATTGGGTGGGGAAATGTATAACAAAATGTATGAAAAATAGATTGCAAAATGTATGAACAAGTGTATGACAAAATGTATAACACAATACATGGCAATGTATGACAAAAATATATCAAATACATTGGTTGCCCACCGCAACGTGACTGACCAAAATTTGGACATAAAAAATACTACTCTGATCAAAGACGTGAATGTCTAGGGGTTTTCTTGATCGTAAGGTCATCTATAGTTGATTTAGGCTCTTTAAATCATTTCCCCATTCCTGGTAGAACTTCACTTATTACAGTGTCGGATATCTACTAACAAAAGTGATGCAATGAAATGAAAAATAACCTAAATGGCTAAAATTCCCAGCATCCCTCGTTCGTGCGCATGTGTAGTTGCATTTAGTCCAATGAAGTCCTAAAGGCCGAACAGCGTCACAATATAAATATATATTATATATATATATATATATATATATATATATATATATATATGTGTATGTGTGTGTGTGTGTGTGTGTTCTTCGATAATCTTAAGATGTGCTATATTTATGGGATAAAGTGCCAATATCAGAGATAGAGCGTGTTAAATATAAAAGTGAACATAGAAGTCAACACTTAGAGGCGATAAGTGCACTCGTGGCCTGAGGATTGTATCTAGCATGAAACACTGTCGCCTTCTAAGTGTTGATATATATATATATATATATATATATATATATATATATATATATATATATATATATATATATATATATATATGGGGCACTTCGAGTCAGTGTAATGGTTAGCAAGCTTGTCTCGCTAGAAAATAACGACTGAATAGTGAGTTCGATTCTAACCTGGGTGCCCCATACTTTCGGCCTTGTGCCACATCCAATCTACGCTTGGAAAATCACTATATATATATTTATGTCTGTGTGTGTGTGTGTGTGTGTGTGTGTGTGTGTGCGTGCGTGAGAATGGAAAGCAATCATCCAAGCAAGCAAGATAGCTGGAAGTATACAAAAATTGTTACAATGTTAAAGAAAGAGAAAAAAAAGAATTATTTATATTACAGTTTGCCAATTCGTCCACAGCAACGTGTAACCTAATAATTTATTCACGTATAGGGGATAATAAATGAATCAAATATATATTTGTAAGGTTTATGTCTTTTGGATATACTTGTGAATAAAACTTGTAAAGGACAATGAAATTTGTCACTTCCACCCAAGATATATTTGTGGCATGCTAGATATATATTGATGAATTATCTCGTTTAAATTATTAATAAATTATTGCCGGATAGCAAAACAGGTTTTAAGGACAGATCTTTGCCAATATGATATTTGCGTCATGATCTGACATAAAAACCAAAAAATCTGTGTTAGTGTTATGGGACCTTACACATAATAACATAATGGACTATTCCATACGTAATAAATACTGCGCCTCAAGAGGAAGCAGAGAGTTCAGTCCGAAGACGGGCGACCGGCTGACCGGCTGATCGGTTGAACTCTCAGCCTTCGGGCGGGGAGGAACCCGAACGAGGCTACGCCGAAGGGCGGAGTCTCTTTCGGGGAGGTAAACCGACCCTGAACCCGTTTATACGGGTTCAAAGGGCATATTTCTGGCTGATCACACGTGCTCTGAGATCCCACGTTAAACCGGCCTTGTGCCACATGATGCCCTCCTAGGGGGACTACATACTGTTCAGTCTGTAGTTGGACGCCCGGCTGACAGGCTGATCGGTTGAACTGTCTGCCTTCGGGCGGGGAGGAACCCAAAAGAGGCTACGCTGAAGGGCGGAGTCTCCTTCGCGGAGGTAAACCGACCCTGAACCCGTTTAAACGTGTTCAAAGGGTATATTTTTGGCCGAGCACACGGGCTCGGAGATCCCACGTTAAACCGGCCTTGTGCCACATGATGCCCTCTTGGGGGGGGCGTGACTAAATACTGTTCAGTCTGAAGTCTGGAGTGAGGTCCGTCAGGAATCTGTCAGTCAGTCAGAGCGAGCGAGTCAGTCAGTCGAGTCAGAGGCAGTCGCGTTCAGACAATTACTACTAAACCTGATATTTCGTACTAACACTTTCTACTTCTCTGTATATATTCCTGTTTGTAATATATCTGTGTTATTCCATATCCGCCTTCGAGTTCTTCTTTATTGGTTCTACTTTGGACTATCACCGTGGTACAAGGAACCGGACCATAGCAGTTAGATTTTGCCTTTTTACAGATAGAACGTTGTCTATTATGAATCCTTCTTGGTCAATTCACTTTCATATAAGGAGCTCACTCCATTGATATTATAAATAAAGAAATATTTGTTACATTGTAATTTGATGATCACTGACCATGACAAAAAAGCACTATTTCAAGCCTTAAATAGACCCTGATTTATTAATGTTTATAATAGACATATAGCGCCTTGAGTCAAAGGTTTTAAGATAGAAAGAAAGAAAGAAAGAAAGAAAGAAAGAAAGGAAGAAAGAGGGGAAACAGATAGATTGTGATTGACAAAACCTCAATAAATTAATTTTGCTAGATAGATAGATAGATAGATAGATAGATAGATAGAGTGATTGATTGATTGATTGATTGATTGAATGTATGAAGAAAATCTCAATAATTGGCTTATTGGCTACTTTAATATGAATACACGGATTTTGTTAAAAATTAGAATCCATAATGTCTGTAAGTTATTCAATCAGACACACACATAAACTCTCTCTCTCACACACACACACACACACATATATATATATATATATATATATATATATTAATAAAGATGAACGTCTGTGTAGGTCTGAGTGTCTATCCGTCTGTACATGTAGAGGAAGAAAAACTACTTCACCGATCTTCATTAAATTTGGAACAGGGGTAGTAACATAAAAAAGGAGTGTAATTAGTTATGTTTGATTAGTTTCGTTTTTCCATATATTTTATCTCTTTTGGACAAAGGAGTCATTGCTGGAAACTATACAATAGCTATAATTTCATTTAATATTCAACATTTCACTTTATTTGAATTTTTGATAAAGTCAATTATCTTATAATGAACAAACCTAAACAACTTTATATCTTTTAGATGTCTATTCTGCCAGCTGACTATTGCAAATAATAATTAGATTAAGCTCTTACTATAATGCCTCACCAAAACTTCCGTTTTGGAGCAACTATGCAATCCCAGTGGAGGAAAGAGAAAGGCCAGAAAAATACTGAGGATCAACTGAGCAAGAGAAGGAGAGAAGAGGTAGAAACGCATGCAGCTTCACGAGCATCACAAAGCCAAGAAAAAGAAGTTCTAAGACGTAGATTAGATGCTCATCAGACTGCAACAGCAAGACAGTCAGAAAATCAAGAAACTGAAATTAGACGTACCATGACGTACCATGGATACTTAACGGACTGCAGCTGTCAGACAATTGAACATTCCAGAAGAGGGAGGAGACTCACAATGAATACTTGACAGAATGGGGTGCAGAATTAATTTCAACTCGGAACTAATTTCAACTTGGAACTAATTTCAACTCGGAACTGATTTCACCTCGGATCTATTCAAAGGCAATTAAGATTTAATTTATTGATTTTCTTAAATTTTGATCAATAACGGCTTCTTTTGAACGAGAGTTTAAAAAAAAGAAGCTAAGTAATCTACTGTTCTTGCTATAAAGAACAGTGTATTTTTATTGGCTCAGATTTAAATGAATAAAAATAAATAAATAAGTACCACTTTATTCATTTGTAACAAAAATGAATGAGAGTTGCAGAAAAGATAAATTCTTAATTATCTTTTCTACTAAGGATTTTTAATGCTAAATTGAATAAATTATCACCAACTCATTGCATTTTGTTTAGGAATTCACAGAAATTGATAAATTTGATTTTAAATCGAGTTGAAATTATTTCCGAGGTGAAATTAATTCCAAGTTGAAACTAGTTCCGAAGTGAAATTAGTTCCGAGGTGAAATTAGTTCCGAATTGAAATTAGTTATGTCATCCGACGGAATGCAACAACCAGGCAACTGAATATATTATACTGAAAATAAATATGACAATAATGGAATATTTTTGATTATTGATGTTTGTTGTAATACTGAAATAAATATTGTAATATGCATACGTTTATAGTTTTCCTCAATCTTTTATTTAGTTATATATGGGATGAATGCTTCAATTATAGACCAAAATATAGAGATCACTGAGCAGAAGCTTATATGCAACCATGTTGATAGTGACTTGGAGGAAGTACCTCTTTGTTCTACATGAAAACAGGCAGGCCTTTCTATGGCGTTACCTGAATGGATATAGCTGTACCACCTACATGAATTTAAACAGTCATTTATTATTATATGTTCAATAATATTTAATTAATATCTTTCGAAAACATAATACAATTTGGGCAGCTTCTTCCAAACCCAGTGAGCGATGGGCATTTCTGGTAGTATGTATATATATATATATATATATATATATATATATATATATATATATATATGATATGTGTGTGTGTGTGTGTGTGTAGGTGCGTGTGTGTGTATGTATGTATGTTGTATATATATATATATATATATATATATATATATATAGAGAGAGAGGGGGGAGAGGGAGAAAAGGAGACAGATTGTGTGATTGACGAAATCAAAATAAATTTGCTTATATAGATCGATACATAGATTGGTTGATTGATTGACCGAGACCGAAATAATTTGGTTTAGATAGATAGATAGATAGATAGATAGATAGATAGATAGATAGATAGATAGATAGATAGATATGAACAGACTGAGAGAGATAGATATGAACAGACTGAGATAGATAGATATGAACAGACTGAGATAGATAGATAGATAGATAGATAGATAGATAGATAGATAGATAGATAGATAGATAGATAGATAGATAGATATGAACTGACAGTGCTAGCTATCACGTAGTTTTGTCAAGAAAGTACGCAGGAGAAAAAAACGTCATACCAAGTATTTCTTTTCCTAACGAAATTGCTACTTTTAAAATGTTGGATATTCAAAACAATGCAAAATATATAAGCACAAAAGCAATAGAAAACTGAGTGATGTGTGCATGATTATACGCCTAAATATTTCAGACGCCAGAATTGAAAATATTAAAGTCAAAACTAAGTGTTACGATATCTTCAATCTTTTTTCTGTAAAATTGTAACCGACGTTTGTTGTATCTCTTCACCACACACACACACACACGCACACACACGCGTGCGCGCACACACACACACATATATATATATATATATATACAATTTTAAGATCGTTAATGCCTGTTTGCTAGCATATTATGATATTAAAAAAATATTATTCAAAATATGTCCATTCGAGGGAAGAAAAGCGTAAGGGTTTTTTCATTTACCACCACCTTATATCTATCTTTATATCTATCTATCTATCTATCTATCTATCTATCTATCTATAGAAGAGTTTATACTTGTCCAACGAGAGAAAAGTGCATATTTTTAAAAGAAGATAAACCGTAAACGTTGTTGGTTGAAAGGTGAATTTTTTATTCTAAAATATATACTATAATCTATTTTCCACAATTCTGCTACAGGTGTTTCTGGTTTACGAACTTCTTCAAGCAAAGAGTAGATATTTCTACATATTATAAAAATGAATTTTTTGCTTAGTAGTGATTTTGTTATGGTGACATAGAAGATTGCTATGCGACGATAACCGTCGCGAATTATCAGATGCAAATCGTAAATTCATGAATACATAATAAGAAAGAACGAAATATTAACAAGGGAACTATATGACTATACACACACACACACACACACACACACACACACACACACACACACACACACACACACACATATATATATATATATATATATATATATAAACTCTTATCTCCAGTCCAACAATGCCATTTGAATCACTATCACGCAAAAAAATGAAAATGTCGCGAAATACGTGCAGCAGAATTATAGAAAATAGAGTATAATATATATTTTAAAATAAAATAAATACATATTTCAACCAAAGACGTATCTTCTTTTGAATATATATATATATATATATATATATATATATATATATATATATATATATATATATATATATGTGTGTGTGTGTGTGAAAAGAAAAAATAATAAGGCTCATGACCACATCGTGTTGAAACACCGGTTTCCATACGATCGCACAAGATAAGCAACATCGAGCTCGGTCAGTACTTAGATGAGTGACCGCTTGGCTATACCAGATACAGTAAGCTTAGATGTGCGGGTGGTGTCATTAAAAATGCCTTGGTCGTGTTAATCAGAGAGACAATTTGGAATTCCTGTAGGGTTCGTTATATACACTTACGCAGAAATAGTCTTAGCAAAAGTATGAACAACCTCTTATCCCCCACCCCCACCGGCTACCGGTTTACTGGTAAGACTTGTATTACAAACCATTATTATTTTTAAAAAAATTCTTAAAATCTATAAAATATTTTCAGGCTTTAAATAACCTGCAAATGTTTACTCAACCTTAGAAAACGAATCATTCACTCAGACTATATTGAATAAATCAGACTAAATTGAATTTATTGCTAGGTCAGCTACTAAGAAAGTTGTTTAATTTTATCGTGCTAGACATTTTTTTCTTTTCATAGTCTATCCTATATATCTCTAAGTTTACCCCTCGTCCATGCTTAGAATATTTCTGCTACATATGCTCCGGTGGTCTTGCTATACATTTGGAGGTTCTTGATAAAATCCAAAGAATATTCAGCAATATTATTCGTCCTGACCTGGCATCTCGTCTTCAGTGTCTTTCCCACTGCCGTAAAGTTGCTTCTTCGTGCCTTTATTATAAATAATTTTACCGTACACCTATTAACCCCTTGTGTCTTAGTGGCTTTTCTGCTTTGCTTTGGGCAAACCTGATTAAAAAAATCGAAAAAATAAAAATGATCATGATTTTTTTTCTATTTAAAGGGAACATTGATATCGATTTGTGACAAAGGACAGTTTAATATCTGCGTGCTCCATGATATCCATTCTGTATGGAATTATATCTTTGAGAAGAACCAACACAATCTGAGCGGCGACCTGTGAATATCGATGAATACACGCTTGGATTTAGTGTTGCGGCAATGATTTGTTGAAATTGTTATACACCTACCTGACGATCCACATTTGTCGGAATGCGCTTTTCTTCGACGTGCTTGTTAAATAGCGATCATTTAATGCATTATTACAGATCTTGGACATTCCAAGATTTCTACACCTACGATGCATTTTTGATAACTGAGGCAATTGATTGTTGGTAACTGGTATTAATTGTCATAGTTCAATCCCAAGGAACACTTCACACTTTGATTGGAATCATCGAAGTTGACAGAAATCCCGCCACGATTCCTCTGTCCCAGACAAAGCGAAAAGTATTCTTCTCCTTGTATATGAAATGGTATTTTAGAATATTATTGACTATTAGTTTTTTTTCTTTAAGCATCGTTGGACTCTTTACTAAAAAGCCATGGCCTTATTTTGCTAGTAATTCCATCGTTAAATAGGTTAATCGCGGTTTCGATTGCTTATTATATCCTGTCAGTGTTAAATTCTCTAAGCTCTCTTTCTTCAGTGCATAACTCGGATATTTCAGTTGTATGTTAGTTGATTGCTAACGGCAGTTTCCTTGTAGTTCTTATTTCTATTACAACTTCCCAGTTAAGTTTATTGTATTTTTCAGCATTCGTCAGTGGAACCGCTTCTTTGTCGATTCAATCACTTAACCATCTGTGCAATATTTTGCAATATCAACTGCCATATAGGAGAATTTATATTAAATAGAGTTCAGCATTTTCCAATCTCTTAATACTTTGCTTAGTTTCTGGAAGGCGTCTTTCGCTATTCAGGTGTGCCTTTGTATTTTTATTTTTGCGCCGTCTATCATTACATTACCAAGATAGTTAAATTTATGTATCTACTTCATTTTTACGTCCCCAGTACAAAATTCACCATTTGGGATGACCCTTTTTCATTCTTTCTTCTAAGTAGAGCAAATCACTAATAATAGCTATCAATAAATTTATTCTTAAAGCAGCGCACGAATATTTGCGACTCGCTGCTTAAATTCCTTTATAACTGAATAACATACAAAGTTCCCGCGATTACCTTGTAGTGGTGCAGGACTTAATTAACTTCTATTTCTACAGAACGAATTTACTAACGTCCTAAACGATCTTGAAGGACACGTGACAAGCAGTAGTGACGACAGCACACTGTTGATGATTGTCACTTGGTGATAACCTTTCTCTAGAGAGAGAGAGAGAGAGAGAGAGAGAGAGATGCTGTAGTCGTCGAATTGTACGCATCTTACACACGAAAAATAAAAGCCATTATCCATGCCGACTGTGTTGCTCAAGGAAACATTAATAATAAAACCATCTTTATATTCTCTTTTCACATACTGCTTACATTTTGGTTATCATTTCTTTGCGTTAGACAAATTGTGACAAATATAGATACATTTGTGTCTTGCATTTTGTGTGAAATATTTCTATATTCCAGAAATGTATATTAAATATTTTCAGGGGTAATTCATTTTTGCAATCTGTTGTATTAAACTGAAAATATATCACAGATGGACTAATGTATAATATGGCTGTTTGAGAGTGGGGAAAATTAATATATTTATTAAAAAAATTTTTCCACTATCGATACAAAATACATCTAAGTGGCCAATATAAATTTAAATCTGAACGCCTCAAATATTTCAGACACTAGATTGATACAAATAAAACACGAGTCATATGAAAACTAGATATTCAATTGTTAAATTTTACCTTTCTATTTAACACATGAAAACATCAAAGCTGTTCCTACTCTCTGTAAGTTTTCAGTTTGCAATACTTAAATACAGATCACGTAAGTGACAATGTGTTTTTAAAATGCATTCTTTATTTAGAATTAGAAAGAGAATATTGAAATTTTTAGGATTCATAATGAGGAAAGAAGGCTTGGAAAATTTGACACTCAGGAAATTCTGAAGGCAAGCGAGGCAGGAGAAAACAGCGAGAGTTCTACATAACAAGTTTGTGTGAATGGATGGTATAAATAGTAAAAAACAACATTGCTAAGAGCTAAAAAGACAAGACGTTATGGAGAGCCATGAACGTTCACGTCTTGAAGGGACCCAACACATTGAAGAAGATTTATCTATCTATTTGTGTAATTGTTGACTGAGATATTTTAAAATATATATTAGACTAATATTAACGTATTTATCCCTTCAAATTGAGTCGAGAAAAGATAACGTTGGAGAGTGATTAAAATGGACAGTTAACTAGTCATGTGGAGATTCAAAGGGTGTGTTTGTGTGTGTGTGAGTGTGTGCGTGTGTGTAAAGGAAAGAAAGAGGAAGATTTACAGATGAAACAATAGTTATTTCTTTACGTATCAGTGGCTAGCCAGGTGTCCTAACTTAGCACCCTGTAACTTTACTCTTTGGGGTTGGTTAAAAGAGAATTCTATTATACCAAACCAAGAATTTGGAAGAACTTGAAAGGCGAATACAAGAAGTTATGTCTTCCCTACAACAAGAGTTCCTGATGAATTCATTTATATATATATATATATATATATATATATATATATATATATATATATATAAGAAGAGACTTGCAGTAACAGAAATGTGCTTCTACAGAAGGATGCTGAAGATACCATGGACTTAACATGTGAGCAACGATGAAGTTTTAGAGAAAATGGAAAGAAAAAGGAAATTGATATTTAACATCAGGAAGTGGCAGTTGAAATTTCTAGATTACATAATGTGGAAAGAGGGCTTGACAAATTTGATATTCACATGATAGACTGAATGCAAAAGGGTTAGAGGAAAGCAACGCATAACATACTTAGTGAGTTTGAGCAAATGAATGGCAGAAAAGTGTCAAGGAGAAAAACAAAATGATAAAATTTATTAAGAGCAACAAAAGAGAAGAATTCGTGGAGAGCCATGATCGCCTGGGGGACACGGCATATAATAAATAATGTTTCTCTCGCTTTCTCTATTTATCTATCTATCAATTTCTATATATCTTGACGGGGATTGCCTCAGTATTTAGCTGAGGTATATAAAATCAAAATCAAAATGAAATTAAAGTAATCAGACTTTCGCCATAACATAGAGTCCAGTAATACCATTAGTTCATTTGCCGTTTACTATGTAAAATATTTGATATTGGTACATCTATCTATGAGTATGTCAGATATACTTAATTATATATTCTAATTTATCTGCCCACATAAAGACATGTATATGCTTATTATGTTATCTTGGAGAAGTCTTTGTTCTTGTATGGATCAATCTGACCCGTTCTACGCCAAGCGATATCGTTTTATATGAAGGAGAATAAATCCATAGAATGGAATGTTGCAGTGTCTTTACACACGTCAAAATCAAACGATACTTCGGGCGGACTGCACTTATAATCAACAACTTGTTTTCCCGACTAGATATTAATGACGTCCTTAGCACTGCATTGTTGGTTTGCTTCACTTCGGTAAGCATGGCCGTCAGCAGCTTATTCATTCTTTTCCGCCATTTTGGTTCTGCATTGAAACGGCTAAAAAGACTAACTAAACTAATTTTCAATTGGAGGAATAAAATTAAATATAAATAAATGCGCAATTCTTTGTTATTTTTTAAAAATAAATACTTTATAAAAAGATGACCTGTTCTGAATGGAACTTTTGTTCATTTTTTTTAATGATAGGTAACAGCGAAGAGGGATAATTATTATCGATTATCGATGCGTAGTTTTGGGATTTTAGGTTCTGCGAATTTATTGGAGGAGGTTTTGAGGGTGTTTACTGAGAAGGCAATATTGTTGATTAAAAAAATCATTCATTTTTTTTTATTGAAGCAACATGTCGCTGAAATGAAAAAAAAAAGAATAAAACAAAAATGAAGTAGTGCTTAGATTGTTTTTAAATAAGGCTAATTGGAAGTAATCTAAAAAAAAAAAACACTGTTAGAATTCTGAAAAATAAAACAATATTATGTAAATTAAATTTATGTAAGCCGATTCAGAATATTTAAAATAATTATGTTTTAAAAAAGAAAGGCGAAAATAGGAATTAAAAAGAATAAAATTAATATGACAAGTCTAGGAAGAAAAATATTAAATATAGAACGGGGCGAGGAGAAGATCAGTTTGAAAGAAAATAAATATAAAAATGCGGACAGCGCTTGTAGAAATAAATAAAATGATAATTAGAAAGAAATCTGATTTAAAAAAAGAGAAAAAAGAATGAAGGAACACTCTTGAAAAATCAATGAAATAATATAATGAAAACAGATATCGTATAAATCAGTGAAACAATAATAACACAAGAGAAATGCAACAAACACGAACAATACAGGAAAACAATAGAGAGAATATAAAACAGATAATGTAGTAAAAATTATTCTAAAAAAAATTAGAAAAAATAAATAACTGTACACGTAAACAAAGAAAACCTTAAAATTGATTAACAAGTATTTAAAAAAAATATAAAAAATCTGACTTTAGTTGAGTAAAAACATATTGAATAAATAAAATAAAAATATTCGTAATATTATTTGCTTACATTTTGTTTGTATAAAAACAAAACTTCATCCAGAAATTTTCTTTGTCATTTTTTAATATCACGCACGAAAGAACTTCTGTTCTATGAATAAATACACGATTAATTAAAATCCACCTTACGGCATTAATTTGTACTGTGTTTCGTTGCCGATAACGCTGGATTATCTCCCCTTGTAACACTTTTAATGTAATCAACGTTATTGTTATTCGTCATGCTTGAATCTATTGTCGTTGCACAGAAGGGGTAATCTTGAAAACGGGAGTTTTCTTATTTATTTATTTTGGAATAAACTCTCTGGTGTTTCTGGGCATGGCCATCATAGAAATTGGCTATGCAGAATAACAGAATAAAATGAATCGGAAGCATTATATTAAAATATTCATTTTTCTCGACTTTTCTTTAGTTATTTCTAAATTTTTTGTTAGAATCATTTTATTTTTACGTTGTACTCATTAATTTACTCAGATAATTTCAATTCACCTTAAATACATGCAGGTATATAATCAACCTCTCTCTATTTCTCCCCTCTCTCTCTCTATCTTTCTCTCTTTATATATATCTTTCTTTCTCTCATTCTTTCTTTCTCTCCCTCTCTCTTTCTATTTCTCTCTCTCTTTGTTTCCCTCTTTATATATATCTTTCTTTTTCTTTTTCTTTCACTCAGTCTTTTCTTTCTCTCCCTATCTCTTTCTCTCTTTCTTCATATATATATATATATCATATATATATATATATATATATATATATGTGTGTGTGTGTGTGTGTTTTTCTTTCTCTTTCTCTCTCACTCTTTCTTTCTCTCCCTCTCTATTTCTTCTCTCAAGGAGTTACTGAGTGTAAGAACATGTGAGAGAATACATTATTAAGGAGACAGAATGAATTAGGTTATCCACTAGGACTTTACGAGTATACCATGAATCTGATCTTTTCAGTGGATACCTCCGTCTTTCTTGTAGTCGGCACCTTCACGCAATTTAAGGATGGAATCCTCGTCATTGACGGATGCTACAAATAGCCATTTTGACTTATGTTTCTATATTGGTAAGACTTGTTGCGATGTTTTCCTATCTAAAATCTAAAAAAAAAAAAAAAAGAATTGGCTGGACAAGTTGGAATAAAAGCTAAAGAAGGCAGTCCCATTCGAAGGAAATCCGATTTCTTACACTCGTCACTGAACCAATTTTCAGAAACACCAACATAAAGATTGACTATTCTGGGTTCGATTCAAAATTCAAGTAAATATCATCTGAAAAATGCTGGGACGTATGTCGGCTGAAGCGTCGTGAATATGATAATATAGATGAAGACCACAGTCTGAACAAAGTAAATTGTTTAAATAGTTATAATGCCTCATATTAGGATTATAGACAGATGAACGAATTTTTTTAACAACCTAATAGCAGTAAATTTATTCTTTATTCCATGCCTTTTACTTTCCAACTAATCGTTCATTTTTTTTCCTTTCTAATTAGCATTTAAAGAAACACTGTTTCTTTGTTTCTTTCTTTTTCTGCAGTTAAAAACTTTCGGATTAATTTTCCATTCCTTTTCATTCTTTTTGTACTTTAACGTCATTTTCACCGGTTCTTCAGTTTGTTGCCTTTAATTTTCTGCTTCCTGATCCGCGTCTGATTTTAAAAAAAAATGCCTTTCTTTTATTCATTCTATTTTCTCTCGCAGTTTGTGCCATTTCGCCTTGCTTTGTTATTTTTTCTTCATCCCTCAATTTTCCTTTTTACAAACTATTATTTACTCCGATTCCTTTTCATCGCGCCATTCTTTGTACGATTCTCTTTTTCTTTCATTTATTCCTTCCTTTTCAAGATTTATCGCAGGATTTCTCCTATTTTCCCTGATTTACTTGTCTTTATTCATGTCTTTATTCATCTCTTGCTATTTCCCTTCTTTTTCTTCCTTTTCTCTCTTTCTTTCATAGCATTATTCATACATATATTTTCGTACTTCCCTTTCCTATCATTGTTTTCTTTCTTTTCTTTCAAATCCTATTTCTTTTTCTTCCTTTTTTAAAAAAATCTAATCAACATTATTTTAAAGGTCTTTCTTAGAACTTCCAGAGAATGCATATATTGTGAAATTAATAATTTCTTTTACTCCTTTCTATTGTTTGAATAGTAGATCTGACTGGACCCTCTTGGCAAATGTCATGAGAAGGAAAATTCTAAATTCACATATTCCTAAAGAGGAATGGGCTTCGTCATGTTTTTGTCCAAGACACACCCCTGCACTATGCACTATGTTATATGTAGTGTCACTTCAACCCAAAATATTTACAGGATACATGACGCTTATCTTTTGTCCGTTTTATTTTATTTCATAGATTTGTCAATCCTGCATGATAGATTGATTCGTTTTCTACAGTTTATCAAACATTTGTAGGTTATTTAAAGCCAGAGGTATTTTTAGATTTCAAGAATTTGTTTTGAGAAAATGATGGTTTATGGATACAAATTTTATTAATTAACGCATAGCTGGTGTGAAGAGGTGAATTCCTAAATTTCCCAAAGATATTTGCTTGTGTGAATATAACGAACCGAAATGGAATTGAAACTCGGCCATCCGATTAACAGTTCTTCGCTATTATAGATTTACACCACCTTTACATGCAAACTTAGAACATCTGATATTCCCAAGTGGTCACACATCTAGGTATTGACCAGGCTCAACATTGCTTAACTTCGCTGATCGTACGGGAATCAGTGTTTCAACGTGATGCCCCTCAATCATGGAGTTTTCCTCTTCCCACTATATTAACTTCATTCACTTCCTGTTTGTTTCATTTTTTTTGTTTCGAATTAATTTATTTACTTTTTCCTTTTCTTTTCACCATCAAAATTATAAGAGCTTTCAAATTTCAATCTCTTCTTTAACAGAATAATATCGTTGTTTTCTAAGCGTATATATTTAATCTAGTCACAACGAAACCTCTAACAATGGCTGCTACTGAAGTAGAATGTGTCTGTAAAGCGTTATCTAAAGTCTCTCTAAAATGTCAAGTAGGCTTTTGGCCCTCAGGTGAATAAAGATGAGAGGTTCTTTGTCTTGCCCCGCAAAGAGGAAAGACGATGTATGTAGTTAAAACAAGTTCAGATAGTATGTGCTAACTTCCGCATGTCCCGAAGTAAACAAGAAAGAAAACGAAAGAAAGAAAAAAAAAAGAAACTATGTAGACTTAGAAAAAGAAAATGTTTATATGTTTACATAATAAAGACTGTTGCTTCTGAATGTTTATAAATTTGTATATAACACCGGAAGTAAGACAAAAAGAGTGTGACTTTGTTAAAGACGATGAGTCAAGGAATGCGATATTCATTCTCAGAATGATATCAGAAAGACCAATAGAGATGCAGAAGGATGTATACATATGTTTATAGATTATGTAAAAACGTTTGATAAAGTCCGTCAGAAGGAACTACATGAAATGCTTGGCAAACTTGACGTATTTGGTAAAGATAGTAGAATAATCCATAACATATACTGTAAGCAACCCACCAGGCATATAGATAGAAAATGAATTCAGTATATACACAAAAATAGGCGTGTAAGAAAAAAAGATTGTTATCTCACCAGACTTATTCAAACATTACTGTGAAGTAATTCCGAAAGAATAAGAAATCTTACCAAGATCTATTATTGGCGGCCATACTTTTCAACAACATTAGATGACACAGTGTTGATAGTAGACACAGAAAGAAAACTACAGGGACTTCTAAAGAATTTAGTAGAAGAAAACGAGATGATAGAGATAAGCATAAATTTTAAGAAGACAGAATGTATGGTTTTCGGCAAAAGAAACATGCGAATTACATATTGGTGATAACCAAAATTAAACGCGTGTAAAAATTTAATTATCTCGGAAGTGTTATAACAGAAGGAAAATCCGACGACGAAATACGATGGCGCATTGGGATGGCTAAAGATGACTTCCAAAAGCTAAGCAAAAGATTAAGATACTGTAAAATTCTGTTAAAAAAAAAAAATCCCGGTCCTCCTATATGCCAGAATAGGAAGAAAATGAGTAACTGCCGACACCGAATTTCGAGTGTGACATTCTGGACTTATGAATATATGTTTTCCGCCACGTGTATAAATAGTGGCGTCAGGCTACTGACTGAACTGATTATTGAGTGACTATTGAGTGGGACTATCCAGTCGAATTAGTGTGAATTATTGTGCGTCGATGATTTAAGTTTTGATTTAAGATTTACCTGACATTTGGCCGAGCTGCGCTACTAACAAGGTATTCACTAAAATGGTTAATTATATTTGGCGGGCTTTTACTTCTTTGTTCTTGTTAAGTATTTATTTGCGATTGTAATTAAATACTGCTTTATTTAACATTGAAGTCTTGAGTTATACTTAATTATTAACGGCCACTGTACGTGGCAAACCAGTAAATGCTAGATTATCTCGTCAGGGATGTAGAAGAGATTCAAGTCAAAAGAAATGTATTTCTACAGAAGGATAATGAGAAAATTATGGACTGAAGAGATGAACAACAATGAGGTTTAGGGAAAATGAAAGCAAAAAGTATTCGTATAAGTATTATCAGAAAGTGAGATAAAATTTCTAAGCCCGTAATAAGAAAGGAGGACATGAAAAATTTGACAGGATATACTCAAGGCAATATAGGTCATACTGAGACAGTGGAAACTAGCACATAACCAAAATAACAAACTCGTGAAAATAGTTGGCAGAAGAGGGATTAGGAGATATAGTTTGTCTTGCTATTTACCCACATGGAAAGGGGGAAGAAGAGATGGATTCATACCCTTCTCAATGATATTTCTGCGTACGTTAATGTAACAAACTCGAATGTAATTCGAACTCGGGTCACCAATTTCATAATCCGAACTGTTAACCATTACTCCACCGTACCATAATTCGATTAATGGAGAAATTATTAAAAAAATTCTCACTTCGAAAGAGAGTGGAATTATTATTTTTTCTAACAAAGGATTGTGCAAAACTCATCAAAACATTTGATCGGCATCCTTCAAATTTCCAGACATTGTAGGCAGCAACCTTCTATAGAACCATATTAAAACAATTTATAAACAATGCAATATTTAAGAAAAAAAACTGTAAATATGTTTATTCGCAAATCAATATTCCGAATCATCTTATTTTGTTTTCATCAAAATGATTGAAAATGAATTAATATATAAATAGAACGTGTAGTAATTGGATTGTCAACTTAAATTGGAAA